CAGTGCTGTCAACGAGAGAATTCCTAGCCTTTCAGCCCTTGAAGGGTCCGGGTGACAGAGCACAGGGCCCGCCACAATAAGCTGTTAGGAGATCCCATCAGGAGCTCAGCGGACAGGGAAGGCAGTTAACGCAGGTTAAAGATGAGCAACTGAGGCCGAGGGACAGAAGCTTGTAGAAGGAGCAGAGACAGGAGCTCATCCTGCTGTGCTGCACCTGCCTCGGTGTGTGCTTGGTCCCCCCTGTCGGAATTAGCTGTCAGCGTGCAACGGTTTCCTCACCTCACACTTAATTGAGGAAGGACGGAAAATATACTCTTTTCTGACTCAGAAATTTGGAGAAGGGAAAGGGAGATTATCTCGGAATTGAAGCTGTCTCGGGTGACATTTTTTCTATATAGGGTTCATTTTGCTCCAAGTGTTTATCAGAATTCTTTTGACAAGTCCTGCTACTTCCTGAGACTCTTAATTCCTCCTTGCACTAAAGCTTCTATTTGGTTTGTTGTCGTTGTTTGTTTTTCACTTAGATAATCAAACTAAATAGACGTCTGCAACTTCTAGAAGAGGAGAACAAAGAGCGCGCGAAGAGAGAAATGGTCATGTATTCGATTACTGTAGCGTTCTGGCTGCTTAACAGCTGGCTCTGGTTTCGCCGCTAGAGGTAACCTCGGCTCTGGAAAATTCTGTCTCAACAGCTGGAAACATAAAGAACTTGCAGACTTCTCTGTTTCTGTGTTTGCATTGTATGCCGTTTTATAGTCCGTGCCCTGCCCGTGTATTTCTTCCAGAAAGGAGGGGGGAAGGGCTGATAACTTGGGGAAGTAAAGGCCCATTCTCTCCCTCCGCTGTGGTCACTGTCAAGCAGTTCTGCAGTAACACGCGCACACTTCACATTCTCCCTTTGCATGTTTTGTAAATAGGCTCTAGTTTGTTTTTCTTTAAGGGAAATGATTTTTGCCTCATCAGTCCGCACAATTAATTCTCTGAATGGGAAAGAGAGTGTATAGTGAGTGGATTTAGAAAAGTATGTGTAAAAGAAGACTAGTCCTTTATTTTGTCCTGTTTCTCAAACGCGATTAAGTGAAACAGTTCCGTCAATAGACATTTTTGCATCCACACTTCAGCGTTCGCGCTTCCATAGTCATGGTCTGGTATCAGGTTTAATGAAGTCAAGGCGCCTCATGTTTTACAGTCACTTTCGTTAAAATAATTCCTGACATTTCCAGCAGTTTATCTAATACATGTGTAAAATGTGCATTCTTATTTTTATTTTAATTTTGCAGATGGTTTTCTATAAAGTATGTTTTTACTAAGCCCCGTGTGAATGATTTAAAAAAACCACAGAATAAGGTACAAATGTAGTGTATTTAATAAACTGTCAACGAAAGCAATGGTTGTCTCTCAAAAAGTTTTATTTCACCATGCTGTGCCGTGAGCGATGTCTTCTATCATATTACCGTTAATGAACGTAAGTCTTCCCGCCTCAGGAGCAGGAAATGCAAGTAATGACTTTGCAGGTAGCAAGGACCTCCCGTGCTTCCTTTCGGGTCTCCGTCCCGGCAGCGGGAGGCGCTGGTCGCATTACAGGTGGTTATGTAAGTCGCAGGATCTGTAAAGTGGTTCAGATGAAAACAACTTGAGTTGTGTCTGCTTTTTCTGTTGTAGTTTTTAGCCAAGATGCACGATCTCAAGGGATTTAAATGCACCAGTGAAACTAAGTCCTGGGACCCTTTAGCTCTCCCGGTTTTTCATCCCTGTTTTGCATTCAGAAACAGATAGGATTTTAATTAGACGTGGGGCTCTCCACATGTCTTCAATATCTTTCTACCCAGGCCATCAATTTCAGGAAAGGCAGTTGAAGGAAATTCCTTAGATAGATGTATTTAATGTTTGTGTTCTTGTTTCTCCCCCGTCCTTCCAAAATAAAATACCTGGGGCGGGGGGAGGGGGGGTGGCGGGAGGGCACCTGACTTGGGAGGGCGCCTGGATGGCTCAGTCATCTAAGTATCCAACTCTTGATTTCGGCTCTGGTCATCATCTTGCAGTTCGTGAGTTTGAGCTCCACATCAGGCTCTGCGCTGACAGTGTGGAGCCTGCTTGGGATTCTCTGTCTCTGTCTCTCTCTCTCTCTCTCTCTCTCTCTCTCTCTCACTCAAAAACAAATAAACATTTATTTAAAAAAAATTTTTTTTTAACGTTTTTTATTTATTTTTGGGACAGAGAGAGAGCATGAACAGGGGAGGGGCAGAGAGAGAGGGAGACACAGAATCGGAAGCAGGCTCCAGGCTCTGAGCCGTCAGCCCAGAGCCCGACGCGGGGCTCGAACTCACGGACCGCGTGATCGTGACCTGAGCTGAAGTCGGACGCTTAACCGACTGAGCCACCCAGGCGCCCCAAGAAATAAACATTTAAAACAAAAAACAAAAAGATACTTGGAGGAAGCATTCTTCTCTTCCTAGAATTTATCATGAGTTTGATGACAAATTTTTTTTTAACCTATGAAAATCTTCTGACTTTTATAATAGCCTAATGATGTGATTATATTAATTCTAGCTCTGTGTGTGTGTGTGTGTGTGTGTGTGTGTCACAGGTAATTTCTGAGTGATCCAGTTGAAACCACAAAAATGATAAAAACGATGGATAAAATTAGTACTTCTTTTGCTGGACAGGCATGAAAAGGATTCTGCTTGGGCCAAAAATGAAATACAAGGAGGCATTCCAGGAGATCAACACAAAAGCTGGGTTTTTTTTCCCCTGTTGATTTTTACCAAATCCTGGAGACCTAGAACTTTCTCCTTTAGTGGCTGTGCAAGGGGCAGGAGATAACAGTTCCATGTCTTGGGCACAGGATTCCTGCATGAAGCTGGGACCTCAAAAGACAACCCCCCACCGCCCCCCAGGGAAAGGGAAGATGGGAAATCAACTTACCATCCAGCTTTCGCCTTGTCACAGATCTAAAAACTATAGAAGCACTTGAATCACCCCAAAGCCAAGCTCCATTATGCCAGCCTCCCTCACCTGGAGGTTGCTCACCACTGTAAGAAGATGGATTTGGAGTTGAGAGGAACAAATTCATTCCTGGTCAGGAGGGTCAAGAAACACTTCTTAGATATTTGAGCTGAGCCTCGAAATGCATGCATATGCACGTAGTGATTTCAACAAGCAGAGAATGAGGAAAGGATTCCTGGTGCAGGGAAAGTGGCAGGAGTGTAGTCAGGGCCAGGCGTATAGAGGGTCAGCCCAACGCTCTAGTACAGTGAGCAGGTTCCACTGCCTTCAGAGCACTGTTCAGAGGTGGGTGGTAGGTGGTTGTTGGGGTTTTTTTTCCTACTTCTGGGAATCCTTGTCGATGCAGTAGCAGGTTATTTACACTTTGAGGGGTAATTTTATGAAAATGTGTTCGCCAGAGAGCTCTCCTTCCTTTCTTGAATGAATGTCTGTTTTCTAGCGTCTTAATTAGAGTGATACTGAAATTGCACTGTCTTTCCTGGGCCTCAAACTCAAATAAGGTTTAATTCACCATAACTGCTATTTACTTACGTGTTACTGTGTCACGACACTCGCGTGTGTTACTAGACACTCGCGTGTGCACGCGGTAAGCGGGTACAAGCAGGAAGGCCGCAGGCTCTGACCGTCTGTAAGGAGTTGACCGTCCCATGGAGAAGGAGGGGGTAAGCCTCTTTAAACAATTAGAGGATTATAAAATGACCTTCTGGAGGGGTGCCTGGGTGGCTCAGTTGGTTAAGCATCTGACTCTTGATTTCCTCTCAGGTCATGATCTCACGGTTTGGGAGTTCGAGGCCCACACCTGGCCCTGCCGTGGCAGCACAGAACCTGCTTGGGATTCTGTCTCCCACTCTCTGCCCCTCCCCTATTTGCGCTCTCTCTCTCTCTCTCTCTCTCAAAATATATTAAAAATAAGTAAAAAATAAAATTTTATTGAAGAGGAACTTGGGATATACGCTGACGGATAAGGGAGAGGAGAGTGTTTTGCTGTGGATACAGCCAAAAAAAAGTTTAAAGACTCCAAAACAAGATTGAACACGGGATGAAGTGAAAAAGAATGGGTGAGCTTTGTGAGTGACTACGTGTGTGTGTTACATACATGCATGTGTAAGTGTAGATACCAGAACGGAGATGGCATGGTCCCCAAAAGATGCTTAACCTCGGTGGTCTTTGCTGTAGGCATGTAATCCAAGGGAGTCGTTCCCACAAGACTCAAATAGCCACTAGTACTGCCAACCGTCCTTTCTTTTGCTCTCAAACGAGAGGCTTAAGTCTCTGTCTTCGTGACCCTGTGGAGAACTGGGGTCATCCCACCCATCTCCGGGGTGATGAGAAGATTCTGCGCACCACCGCTGACCCTTGTACTGTCCGGTCCGGTGAGCGGTCACGTTCGTTTTACTTGTGTCCTAATTTTATGGCAATTAGCAGGTTGACGCTCATTCAGTCAGCATTCACTCTCCCTGAAAGCTGAGTACGAAAGGTAAGATCCACTTGTTCACTCAACAAAATATTTACAACGGCCCCACCTTGTATCAGGCACTGTACTTGCTACTGAGGATACCAGGAGTGAATAAAAGAGGCGTATCTCGGTACCATGGAGCATATGGTGTTGGGGGGCGGGGAGTGAAACGTAAGAAGCCACAAATAAAAGTGCTGTTGCCATCGTGATGAGTAGTATCGGTGACGGAATGCTAAAAGGGAGAGTCAAGGGAAATCTTCGTTAGGTGGTGAGGGAAGGCCCCCTGAGAACAAGTTGATGGTTGTGCGGAAATCTTTTTTTTTTTTTTTCAAGTACAGTGATATTTTTATTATTTTTATTTTTATTTTATTTATTTGTTTGTTTGTTTGTTTTTGGTTGTGCTGCAATCTTAAGAATGAAGAGGGTGCAGCCGGAGAACATATGAGTGGGGGCCGGGGGCCGGGCAGAGGACCGGCCCTGCTAAGGCTCCGAAGCGAGAAAGAGCTAACGAGAGCTAAGCGAGAGCTAAGAAAGAGCTAAGCGAGAAGGAGCTAAGTGGTTGAGAACGACACAGGTCCTGCTCTCTCACATTTTCCGGCGGGAACAGACACACAACATTTACGTTCCGTTGTGACAGGTATGATGACCATGGTTTGATGAGTGCTACCTTGGTTGGAATCCTGCGCCCTGGGAAGGCTTTCTGGAGTAGGAGATACTAAAGCCAGACCTTAAGGATAAATAAGCGTATGTGGGGGCGTGGGGAGAGGGTCTTTATGCAGCAGAGAGAACCAGAAAGAAATGCCTGTGTGTTCTTGATGTTACCAGTTGGGGATGGGGACGGCTATAATATAGGTATTGAAAATTATTTCTAGAACCTGAAGCCCAGTAAACATACATAATTGAAATCAAATGCAGGAATGATCACATTCAGAAAATGGGATTTTTAGTTTTATCTGTCTTACAACATTTTAATATGGTACATGCATGGTTTTGTTATCGTGTCTCTTAAAGACTGGCATATATAGAAAGCCGCTTTCGAAACACTGGGTTTTTTTCTAGGCATTTATTTTCAAGTGTGAAAGAATACAAACAGGAAAAGAGAAGAATGTAATGGGTTGCGATACACCTGTCACTTGAATATAACAATTAACATTTTTCCATTGCTTCATTTTTTGGCTGAAGTATTTTAAAAACATGACATTTCCCCCCAAACATGTACATATACATTTTTAAAAAAATAAGAACATTCACGGGGGTACCTGGGTGACTCAGTCAGTTACGCGTCCAACTTTGGCTCAGGTCGTGATCTTGCGGTTTATGGGTTCAAGCCCTATATTGGATTCTGTGCTGACAGCTCAGAGCCCGAAGCCTGCTTCAGATTCTGTGTCTCCCTCTCTCTCTCTCTGCCCCTCTCCTGCTCGTGCTCTCTCTCTCTCTCTCTCTCTCAAAAATGAACAAACATTTTAAAAAATAATAAAAATAAGAACACTCATATAAATCTACATTTCTTCAAAAACAAGAACATTTTCTGTATAACCATTAAACCATTGTCATGCCTAAAAATATTAGCAATAATTGTTTAAGAACATCACTGAAACCAATTCTTATTTATTTCTTTATCCATCCACCTACGTATCTATTAATGTTTATTTTGAGAGCATGAGTAGGGGAGGGGAGGGTTCAAGAGAGAGAGAATCCCAAGCAGCCTGTCCGCGCAGAACCTGGCATGGGGCTCACTCTCAAGAACCGTGTGATCATGACCTGAGCTGAAATCAAGAATAGGAGGCTTAACCGACTGCACCACCCAGGTGCCCCCTATTTATTTTTTTAAGTAATCTCTACACCCAACGTGGGTCTTGAACTCACAACTCCCAGATCAAGAGTCGCACACTCACCGGCTGAGCCCTCCAGGCGTCGCCCCCCAAACCAATCCTTGTACATGTCTCCCCAGTTATCCCTGATAGAGTCCGCAAGATGCATTTCATTGAATCAGGCCTCTTAATCTAGAGTAGCACCCTCTGCCCATCACGCCTTTTATTCTCCCGTATATTTTCTTGTTGAAAATGGGGCTATTGTCTGTTCGATGCCCCACCTTTGGGGTTTGTCTTAGTGTGTCCTCTTCCCCATATTGTGAGCTAGAAATTAGGTCTAAAAACATTCAGGTTATCTGTTTATTCTTTTTTTTTTTTTATTTCAAGTATAAAGAAATACAGTAAAACAAATTCTATATTTTCACTTCCAGGACAACTGTTCCTTCCTGTTCTCCCTTCCTCTCCACCCCCTTTTCCTTCCCCCTCGCTCCCTTCTCCCTCCACACACAAGAATATAGTCCTTAAAAATTCAAATAGTACAGAGGTACCGAAAGCTACAAAACAAACTGAAAACTTCTCTCCGCCTTTCCTCCAAGTCAACCACTGATGATTGCTCTTGCTTGATACGTGAAAGGCTGATTTTTTTTTTCTTTTTTAACCACCTCAAAGGTGACTTTTGGCCTAAAAAGACTCCTGTAGCCTCCTAGACCTCATTCCACTATTGAACTTCTGAAAGAGTGTCTTTTAAACGCGATCCTCAGATGATTCAAACTGCTAATATTCCCACCTGATTGCCACAAAACTACACAATCCTACTTCTCCGCTTAGTGACTCCACACAGACAGCCGAGAAGACCGATGGCCATCTGACTGAGCCCACACATGAGCTCTAGAATCCCCACAAGCAGCAGGCCCAAGAACACTGAAAAATGGATCGTCCTGTGTTTGTTTTCTTTAGAACTGAAGTTCAAGCTATAGCGTCCACCATCACTGGCCCTGGTACCACTGAGGGTGGGATCAGTGACCTCAGCAGGAGCCATGCAGGACTCTCTGAAGAACCACTGTAGATTGAAGGATTCTGGATGGATGTTGCTGAAACGCAAGAAACGAGAGAAGATATTCAGGAATATCACCATGAAGAAAGAATGCAGCATTGTGCTTTTTCTTACACTCAAAGAAAAGGACGAGTATAATAAAACACAAGTACCTCGAGGGGCACCTGGGTGGCTCGGTCAGTTAACCGTCGACTTTGGCTGAGGTTGTGATCTCATGGTTTGTGAGTTCGAGCCCCGCGTCGGGCTCTGTGCTGACAGCTCAGAGGCTGGAGCCTGCTTCGGATTCTGTGTCTCCCTCTCTCTCTGCCCCTCCCATGCTAATACTCTGTCTCTCTCTCTCAATAATAAATAAACATTAAAACACACACACACAACACAACTACTTTGAAATACTGTGCCCAAAAACTATAGCTAAGTTCGAGGTTTCTGGTCATGTGTCCGTGTACTCTGATAGCTACAAAACTTTCGTTGATTATATAGCCCATCATTCTATAGCGCCTGCTCTTAGGTTGAACCATACGAAATTTGCTATGTCAGAAATGGTTGAATATTCATCTCCTGTGGTTCAGCCTAATTATACAGGCGTTCTACTTGCTAAAGACATGCAAATCAAGGAGGCACCTCTTTCGTGGAGCTCAGTCCTTTGTGCAAAACTGAAATGACGTATCTGCTCTTAAACGAGATGTGCAACTTCTACTGACAAAAGGCATGTTCAGTATGTCTGATTACGATCCATCCGTGCCCACTGTAACCAGGTCTGGAAACTGAGAGCTTCTAGCCCTAACACGAACCGTCCTAAGATGATGTTTCCCCAGTTTACTATGGAGTAAGGCTAAGTGTTCTTGGAAAGTTTGCATTTCTGGATCCCAAAGCTGACATTTACCCGGGGAAGATGACAGTATTTCCAGCGCATAGAATAGGCGTGTGCTTTCTGCGGTTTGCCAGCAAATGTAGGATCGCTCTTGTAACTGTTTACTCTCTGTAACTGTCTGTGTCCCCACCTAGAGTGACTCTTATCTGCAGAGCTTAGCCTGGTGCATGCTGACTTGTCCTCTCTGAAGGACTAAATGTGCACAGCACCTGTGCTTACAATCTCTGATTTTAAACTTCGGATCTGTTAGGAAACGGAATTTTTTTGAATTTTGATTCACGGCAACTGCAGTCTGCAAATTTTGAGAGATTTTTATTTTTTATTTAAAAAAACTTTCAATGTTTATTTTGGAGAGAGAGACAGAGGGCAAGCAGGGGAGGGGCAAAGAGAGAGGGAGACACAAAATCTGAAGCAGGCTCCAGGCTCTGAGCTGTCGGCACGGAGCCTGATGTGGGCCTTGGAACTCATGAACTGTGAGATCATGACCTGAGCCAAAGTTGGAGGCTCAACCGACTAAGCCACCCAGGTGCTCCCAAGAGATCTTTATTTTTTAATGTAGCAAGATAAGAGGAAATGAGGGGGAAATTTTTTTTCACATAATTCCAAAAGTGAATTCTGATTATTTTCCAAACTGAGAACGTACAGGTAACTGATGGATTAGGTTGTTCTGTTCTTCCAGTTTTACAAATTCAGTGCTTAGATTCAGGCACAGAACCATCTTACAAGACTGAAATGAGCCATTTACAAGTAACTTCAGTGGTGTGGCTGTAGGTGTTAAAGTGGATTCATTCCCGTGCCTACGGTATATTTATAGTTAAGTGCATGAATCTTTTGACTGCTTTGTTTCTTTTAGGGCTTATAAGGAAGGTTCTAGATTTTATGTATTGTGTTTTTAGTCAACTTCTTAAATTATAAAGGTAACATACGCTTAGGACTTAAGACATTTAGTTAGCTCAGCCGTGTAGAAAGTCAGTGCTCCCTTCACTTCCCCAGGGCATCTTCCATTACCATTCTCCAAAGATCAAAGCTAAATTTCTGGTGTAGATTTCTCAGAATTCTGGATACACATACACCTATGCAGCCACGGATTTTTAAAAGACCAGGATGAGCCACCTGAGGCAACTACTCCTTTTGGACAAGATCAGCCCCAAAGCATTCTGAACGTAGTGGTTCCTCCGTTTCTGTGAGATTGTGCCAATCGGGGAAAACGTGCTAAGTCCCTAAGAGTGTGTGTCCCAGCCACGCCATCAAAGAACAACATGGGCCCCATGTCAACACCACACTCTTCTCGTGTAACTAGCTGCAGCATGTAAGACAGTCCGTGAAAATCAGGTGACTCACCTTAAGTTGTTGAATGAAAATTCACAGCTGGAAGTGCTGTTCACTTGAGAGTTACAAATGAGAGGGCCTTCCGAGAGAGCCCGGAGAGATACTAACATGCAGTACACAGCACCAATGACTGTGATCACATTCAGAAGTGATGACAGAAGCATCTGAAAAACAAAGGAGGCGCCGACCGGCATATGTTCTTACACGTTTGCTCCCGGTCTGTTTCAAGTCTCCGCATCACGCGCAGGCTTTGGTTCAACTGCTGCTGTTCCCCGGCCACCCCGCAGCCCCAGGTCTTAAGATCTCGGTTTGCTTAGGTCGGAATTATAAAAGAACAAAGAGGAATTATAAAAGAACAAAGAACAATGACGTCCCTGCCATTTGATTAGACTCACGAAAAGGTTGTGGGGCTTGCCACTGTCTCTGGGAACTCTGCGCTTTTGTATACCGGAGGCTTTTCCGTTTCAAGGGACCAAAACTGAAATCTGGTACCTTCTCCCCGTTCTGTGTACTTTCTACTTCACAGAGCCTTGACTACATCTTAAGCACACACATTTGGTGTCTGGTCTCCTGACTCCCAAATCTTTCATCCAGATTTGGTCCTGATGCTGTGAGTGGCCCTGCATTGTGCAGGGATCAGTCAACAGTGCAGTGTTCGAACAGGGTTTAGATACTAGTAGCATTCCTCTCCACCCGCCCCCCCCCCAACGCCCACCAACACCAACCCGGCTCCAAATTGTTGACAACCAAAAGTGTCCTGGACATTGCTGAAGGTCACCTTGGCGGGGGCAGAACTGCCCCCCCTTGGAGAACCATACTGTGCTCGAGACAAAGATTATAAGCCTTTAAGCATCTTTCTTTTCATGAACGAGAGCCAGAGAAAGGAGAAAAAAGTGTGAAATTTGCCCATAGGAAATGTTATGGCCCAAGTGAAAGTTTGTATAGGTCTACCTTTTCCAAAAAGAAGCTCCATATGGTTTCAGTGAAGTTGTTAGTCAATGATAATCACGACTTAAAGTCTACAGAAATGAAGGGAAGGAGTACATGTCCTTTTCCTTTGATGTGATAATATTGCCACTCCTAGAGGGTTTAGGAGACCTAATGCGTAAGCAGAATAAGTGGTTACCTACATAGTGTACGTTGTGGGATGTTGGGCTTTACATATATCATTTAGCCCTTTCAGTAACCCCCCAAGAGATAGATACTATTATTCCCACTTCATGGATGAGAAAACTATAGTTCAGGGAGGTTGGTGAACTTGTCAGGATCTCACGGAAATGCTAGTGCTCGGGTTTTAATCACAACACCAAAATCCTTCCAGCCGAAAGCGAAGAATGATGGATTTGGAGTCAATTCCAATCCGGATTCTTCTGTACTACTGTGGCCTGTGCAAGATGCTTCACTTGCTCATCAAGAAGTGCGCTGTTGATGTTTTAGGTCATTTATTACTTCTGACTTCTCATCGCTACAAAGGGGCCTGGCTTTAGAAAAGTGACTCTGAGTTCAAGCCCCGCGTCGGGCTCTGGGCTGATGGCTCAGAGCCTGGAGCCTGTTTCCGATTCTGTGTCTCCCTCTCTCTCTGCCCCTCCCCCGTTCATGCTCTGTGTCTCTCTGTCCCAAAAATAAATAAAATGTTGAAAAAAAAAATTTAGAAAAGTGACTCTGAGGATCTGAATTTGCCCGAGTCGGGGTTCATTTAAATGACTCAGCAAAACCAAAGCATTTGGAAACAAAATCAAGAAGCGACAAAGGGAAGGAGCAAGGAACAGTTGAATTGGGGGAGATAGTAGGAACAGTTAATACAGAAGCCAAGCCTTGGTGACCCCATCTCCCACCCCAAGATCCAGCCTTTCTCACTTTTATGATGCTTTGGTCTTTTCTAGACTTGGAAGATGCCTGGTCTGACTTAAACGCGGGCTTCCCATAGCCGCCACCAAGTGAGAAAAGTGCTTAGGAACACTATTGCATCCAGTAAATGTAAGCTGGAAATTTTAATTAAGTAGCCAGCCTCACTATTATTGATAGAACATGAGCAGTATTATTCAACACGCCCCTCCTCCACCACCGCCTTGGCACTCCAGAGTTCCTGCAGCTCGTTGGCACGTAATAATCTGTAATGTTGCTGAAGCATGACTTCCAGTGATCTTCAAGCACGGTGTGGGGGAGCAAAGCCTGGTGTGTTAAGCCCAACACCTGCGTGAAAGGCGTCTTGATTATTCTGAACTCACTGCCCTCCAAGGACAAAGAAAAATGATCGTTGAAAAGATGACTAATTTGCCATTAAAGGATATGTGGGGGAACAAAAGATTCCTAATGGAAATATGATTGGAGAGAAAAATCTAGATAACTGTTCTGACATTTTGGCGTTCAGGGATTTAGAAATATCTCAAGTGTCTTTCTTAAGAATGTAAGTACAATAGAGAGGTAATACAAAGTCAAACTGCAAATTATGATTTAAAAAGTACCAGAGAGGGGAAACTGAAAACTAGTATATACTGAATACCTATAGTGTATCAGGAACAAAGATGGACTATAAACAATTAGAAAGTAATTATAAGCCTGGATAAATATCAAATGTCAAAAGGTAAATTTTAAAAATATAAATTTTCTGTTATGGATATCAATATGTAATACAGATATAGATATGTATGCTTTTAAAAACTGGTTCTCACCCCTGGGATCACAATTAGAATCACCTAGGGTATTTTTGAAAAATACTGAATCTCTGGGAGCCAGCTCAGCCAGGAATATTTACTGTGACTGCTTGTTTATTAATTGACCCCCTTCCTTAGAGATTATCGAAAGCCCTCGGTGTTACTTAATAGCAATGGTCACGGCATAAATAGTGTAAAGATTGTGAATTTTGGAGTCTGATGGATTTGGATGCAAATTCACCTACTGGCTACGCTGGCAAATTATTTGCTTTCTCTGAGGATCAATTTCTCGGTCAATGAAAGAGAGATCATCATACTTCCCAGTTAGTGCCTTTGAGAGCATTAAATAAGATTGTCGAGTTGGAAGTGTTCTGAGCGTAGTAACAGAAGGTTAATAAGTATTAACTTCCTTTACTTTTAACTTACCTACAATTTTGTATATAATAGGTACATACTACATGTTTGAGAAAATAACCCGTTATCTTCTTTATACTGGATAAGGACGATTCTCCCGATCGTAGCAAGCCAGTCTTTAACAGAACTGAGGATACACTTTCCCAAAGTATTTTATACGCGCCACAAAAAATAACAAATATTTGAGAATTATGAAATCGATTGGGGCTCTGGGTATGACTTAACAAATCCCCTCTCTTTGAAAACCTTTAGCGACAACTGAAGATTGAGGAAAGGTCTGAAGACTGGACCTCAAAGGTAAATTTTTGTGGGGAGAGAAAAAAAAAAAGAAAAAGAAAAAGAAAAACTTCACACTTTCCATATTATCATGTAATCGTTGCAAATGGCACGTCGCTAAGCCTGTGGTCCTGCCACTGACGGTTTGGGAAGCTTTGCTGCTGCATCAGCAACTGCTCATGCGCTTTGGCCCCGACGGGACTGTACTCACTCCAATTCTGTTGTTGCAACACGCTCTCTTTCTTGCTGCCAAGGACATTGTTGTTGCCGGAATGACCTGGAAATCACATCAGCAGGCAGGATGAGCATTATGTCTTCTCATCAGATGAAAAAGCAGTAATCCCCACTCCCACCAAGTTGTGGGAAATCAAGTCTCGAGAGAACCAACGGGGAAATTTTGCAACATCTCCTGATATCGGGGTCCCCGTTTCAACCACAAAGATGAGGATAACGGCTTCAAACCCTCCTATCTACATTCTGGCTCTACTCTCATCTTTAGAGAGACTCGGATTTTAAATGGAATAGAATGAGTTATTTATCCTTTATTTTGGAAAGAACGCTCCTGGAAGAATTGTTTGCACCATCCAAAATTCCCTTTTCTTCTCTTATTTTTTTCTTCTTCTTGTTTTAAGTTACTATAATCTACAACCACTTATCCAATTTCCCAAAAATCGCATGAGCTAATCTGGGAAGCGCCCAGAAAGGAAGTTGTGGGGCTGGCAGTTGGGAACTAAGAATTCTGTCACCACCCTCTCCCATTTCCTAAGTTTCCTCATACCCCCCGAGGTCACCACTGTCCAGCTAGTTACCAAGCTTATGATCCAAGCATTCTTTCTGGTTCCACATTCTCCTTTCTGCTCGTGTGTCCATGATGGGTAATGATCTCACTTTACACTGATGTTCAGGAATCCTGTCTATAATGCATTCTGTGTCGAGGGAGATACACAATGCTGAGGAAAGCTGTAAGAAGTGATGCCGCATTTTCGGGATGAGGCTTAAATTTTTAGGACTGCCTAGTCAGCAGCTCTGACTAGAAATTCCTCCCGGAAAAAGTGTCGTATCATTGAAGAGTGACATGTGAATTACTTCCTTCTACTTAAGAAATGTTAGCCATGAGGTTTTTCTGCCTTCTCAGCATAGCTGCCCTGAAAGTAGTTCTCTCTTTTTTCCTTCCACTCTTGCTTTCTAATGTTTTATTGAGTTCTGACAAGGGGCCAGGTACCGTTGTAGGTGCTGAACATGTTTTAGTTCATGCCAGCCTCATAACAATCCTCTGAGGTAGGAACTATTATTACTCCCATTCTACCCGTGAAAAAACTGAGACACAGAAAGTTCGAGTGACTTGCCTAAGAGAGTGGACGAGTTGGGAGCCAAAGCTGGACATTTGGGTTCCAGAGCCCAGACTCTTTATTTATTCTCTTATTCTGAGAGAGGCAGAGAGAGGGAGGGGTGGGCAGAGAGAGAGAGAGAGAGAGAGAGGGAATCTCAAGCAGGCTTTGCGCTATCAATGCTGAAATCAAGAGTCGGACACTTGACCAACTGCGCCACCCAGATGCCCCCAGAGCCCAGACTCCACCACGATTCCACCCTGGCCAATCCTGACAATTCTCCTCTCTTCCTACAGAGAAGCTGTCCATTCACCTCCTTCCCCCGCCCCCGTCCCACTTCATCCTTCCTCCCACACACCCCCTTGGCTCCTCCCACCCTCCTCTTCTAACTGTTCCTTCCCTGATGCTTCTTTTTAAGCCCCCATCCACCTTTGTCCTTTTATTTTTTTTTTAATTTTTTTTTCAACGTTTTTTATTTATTTTTGGGACAGAGAGAGACAGAGCATGAACGGGGGAGGGGCAGAGAGAGAGGGAGACACAGAATCAGAAACAGGCTCCAGGCTCTGAGCCATCAGCCCAGAGCCTGACGCGGGGCTCTAGCTCACGGACTGCGAGATCGTGCACCTTTGTCCTTTTAGAACAGGTTTAAGATTTACTTACAACTTACAAGGCAGCCTTCCTGACGAACTTCACCCCACCCTGACCAGGTGCTGACTCCACGTCACTTGTGGGGAATGCTGTATTGTTATCAAGCTTTGCTTGCCTATTGCCTTGAACACCAACACCCTTGTAATTCAGGGGGCACGTAGGTATGACAGCCAAGCCACTCAGGGGCATAGCTGAGAACCCCCAAAGGGAAAAGAAACTTCAGCCCCCAAATAGGTGTCAGCATCAGTAGACTAAGCTTCTTTTGTTGTATTCATAAGCTATACTGTCTTCTGAACTTCAGGACAAATCATTTAGGATACAACCGGCACTGTGCCCCCCCCCATCTTTTTTTTTATAAATAAAGTTTTATCAGAATACAGCCATGCCCATTCACTGACATATTTTGTGCGGCTGCTTTCACACATCAATGGTACAGTTGAGTAATTGTGAGAGACTGTCTGGCTCACAAAGCTTAAAATACTGTCTGGCTCCTTATAGAACAAAATTCCCAGCCCCTGATTTAGAAATGTAATGAATATGTTAAAGTTGGAACAACATTAAGTTACAACTTAAATGGATAAATCATTCCATTTTCCCTATCGATGTAAATTAAACTAACTTTCTTGAGGATTAATTTATTTCAGAGCTGCTGAACATCTTTCATAATTCTTTTCCCTTGCAAACGTGTTTTATAACAATGATTGACAGTATGTGAATTCTCACCCAGTTGACTGCATGACATCTTTTTTTTTTTTTTTTTTTTTTTTGGGGGGGGGGAGGAAAAGAGAACATGAGACAGGGGGGGATAGAGAGAGAGAGAGAGAGAGAGAGAGAGAGAGAGAGAGAGAGAGAAAATCCCAAGCAGGCTCTTCACTGTCAGCAGAGCCCGATGCAAAACTCCATCTCACAACCCTGGGATCATGACCTGAGCCAAAATCGAGCCAGGGGCTCAACCGACTGAGCCACCCAGGCCCCCCCAGCTTCATGACATCTTAACACATCTTTGTTACATGATTATGGGTAACTTAATAACTCACTGTATTTCAACCATTTTGCCCAGTCAGAGTTTTGGGAGTTGGAGGGACTCTATGAAATGGACAGTAAAATGTGATTTGATTTGATTTTTGTTTAGGTAATGTCTACATCCCATGTCAGGCTTGAACCCACAACCCTGAGATCAAGAGTTGCACGCTCCACCAGCTGAGCCAGCCAGGTGCCCATGGACAGTAAAATGTGAAAGTATATGTGTACATAGGTGACTGAATTATAAATCTTCCAGATAAACTCCTGTGATCATTAGTAATTATGAGAATACTCTTTCTCTTCAATTCCTAAGCATGAGTTTGTGTGAAATTAAAAATCTCTATAGATTTTTTTTTTATTTTTTAAAATGTTTATTTTTGAGAGAGACAGAGCATGAGGAAGGGAGGGGCAAAGAGAAAGGAAGACACAGAAACTGAAGCAGCTGCAGGCTCCGAGCTGTCAGCACAGAGCCTGATGCGGGGCTTGAACTCACGAACCGCAAGATCATGACCTGAGTTGAAGTCAGACACTTAATCGACTGAGCTACCCAGGCACCACAATAGATTTTGTTTTTAGAAAGAAGTAGTATTGTTCATTTTTTTCTTACCGAAACACATACTTTTATCCAGTTTTAGGAGTAAGGTAGTATATGATTTGGTAAATGAAGTACAAGAGAGCTTTTAGATCATTGAAACTCTGATAAAATGCAAACTTTGGGCATTTTTCTATGTACTTGAATATGAGAATAACACACAAAGCCATAGTTCAGCATAAATACAAAAATTATATTTTGAAAACTCTTGTTATATGTAATATTTTCTAATGTGTTTAGCATTCAACAACTTGTTCTCTGTTAAGACTTGTTCTGTGTTAATTAATGATATTTAATATATTACCATTATGTAATAAGTACACTCAATGAGTAAGCATGATTAAGATGAGACTTCCAACTAACTCATATAAAATAAAATGACCTTTCTATTTTTAGAGGATGGACTTCAAGTCTTTTTTTTAGTACCTGAAATAAATAACACGTATTGATTTTTCCACTTAGGAGATAATGGTTGAAAATAATTATGCAACATCTTTATTCTTGATTACGGTTTCAAAAGATGAAAAAGTTCACCTCTCTTTTGAGTAAATCATAAAACCATAAAATGAGTGTATTTCATGAAATAATCAATAATGAATTCCACAGTTTTTATTATTAGCTACTTCCTGCAAAATCCCATTTTTGAAAAAAATTTAAAATACCTTAGCAATTTTAGAAAGATTTCAAGAACTAGGACAAAAGTGCTATCACGGGCAGTGAATTCTTCCTTATTAACGTTTCTTTGTATTTACAAGTGTAGTAAGAGATCCACATTTTGAACGATTCCCTTTGAAAAAGATATTCTTCCAGGTCCTATATATAGCCAAGGATCAGGAAAATGTACCTGCATTCTGAGCCTTTCTATCATCCACCAGTTTGCTTGTGAGCCTAGCCTAGAGTTTGAAGCTCAGTCTGTAAGAGACATGTTGAAATTTTCAAGGAGCTGTTTGCTGCTTTGATGACCTTCTACAATGCTGCGCAACAGAGATAACCTTGTGTGATTCCGGTAGCTCATTAATGTTTATTGAGGATGATAAAGCAAGTGCAACCGTAGAACCAGGAAGTCCAGATCCTCTGGAACTGTTTCACAGATTTTGTCACCTCTGTATGCTTCAGTTTCCTGGCCACTTAAATGTGTGAATTACGTTCTGGATTTCATCTTTCCCCTTTGTCAGTTGGAGACAGTCGTTGAGAATGATGGTGCTAATACTGGTGGAAAACAAACCTTTGGAATCAGATACATCTGGAATTGAGTTTCACCCCTACTATGTGACCTTGTTAACATTCCTAACCTTCTGTGTGCTGATCTGTCAAAATACAAGTAATAATATCTACTTGGCCAGATCATCAGAGAGATGAAATGAACTAGTGTAAAGCGTGACCCCCAGTAGCTGGTGCTTAACGGTACTCTCTGTGCGTCTTTCACTCTGTCTTCATCCCCTTTCTTCTTCCTCTCCCTCTCCCCCCACCAAAATAAGCATACATAGAACATAGCTGTGCACTATCACCACCTGAGGCTCCATTAATGCTAGCAAGAAATTCTTTTCAATGGGGATGGGGTTTATAGTAGAACCAATTTATATTTAAAGTTACATGAGTTATCCTAATGGATTAGGAACTTTTAGGGTTTTCATGGAAATTGCCATCATTAATTAAACTTGGCCTGCTGTGGGCGCCTGCGTGGTTGGTTAAGCATCTGACTTCAGCTCAGGTCATGATGTCATGGTTTGTGAGTTCGAGCCCCACATCGGGCTCTGCACTGACAGCAAGGAATCTGCTTGGGATTCCCTGTCTCTCTCTGTCTCTCTGTCTCTCTGTCTCTCTATCTCTCTCTCTCTGCCCTTGGCACATGTTCTCTCACACACTCTCTCTCAAAGTAAATAAATAAGCTTAAAGCAAACAAACAAACAACACTTGACCAGCTAGCTGCTCCTGGCTGCTGGCCTAAGCAGATGCAAGGAAGCTCATGCCATTCAAGTGGAGAGAAACTTCTAGAAGAGCAGAAAGCAGACACAAGGATTGGCAGTTGCATCGCGGATGAGCGCTATTGATCACTTTCTCTCAGCCTGGAAGAGAAGTCTCATGGTGGTTGGAAGAAATAGCCCTTTGAGTAACTTTTTCTACCTAGAACAAGGTGAACAGATTGCTCACGATGTTAAAGGAAAAGAAACCATCAACTTTGGGCGGAATGCTTCCTAAAATGGCTTTCTGGTGCCAGAGTAGTCTCAAATCCAGCGTGCCAGCCAAAGGAGGATTTTTTATCTAAAGCTTAATATCTAATGACCCACGAGTGTTTTCATATAAGTCTGGGATAAGACCAGAAGCAGTAACATGATCATCATCATTCACACACACACACACACACACACACACACACACACACACACAAACAAAAGCTCATTTCTCTGGCTTTAACCAGAGTCCCTTTATGGGTAGCATTTCCCACCCCATATTCCTGTGAATACTTAGAGACTAGCATTGGCAAAGGAAAGCTGAGGGAATGGATTCAAAACATCTTGAACACAATAAAGAACAGCGTTACATGTGAAGAAATATGATCGGTACGAACCCAACCAACTTTTATCAAATTATTATTTTTTTTGCCCGAGCCCCCTGGCCTGTACTCCAGTTTACTTAAATTGTCGGTCTTCACTTAATGCCAGTATAAATTAATACCATTCCACTCCTCCTGACAGCATCCCCAGCCAAGACGTAGCCCACCATCAGGCTAAAAGTCTTTAGAAGTTGGGTAAAATAGACAGGCCTTTCTCGAAATCAGGCCAGGTAAACGTTACTCACCATCAGCCCTGCTCCTATAATTCCTGGGAACCACCATTCAAAGCAAGAGATGGGGTTTTGAAGAAACTGGCCTTCATCAACTAAGTTGACAATTAGAGGGATTGCGTTGAGGGTTATTCCCAGTAGAAGTAGAACCAGCAAGGTGAATCCATTACAGGATGTCCATCCTTCACAGCAGGTCATGGTCAGTCCCTGGTTCAACGAGAAACCCTGTCAAAGTGGCTGTTTGGGTGGCGCTGCCTTGCCTTTTATCCTGAGCCTTCTGGTTAAAGTTTAGAACTTATGAAAAATAATTGCGGGAAGTAGTTCAGAGTCCAGTAGGGCAGGACATTATTATGAGAACTATTGAGGAAGTAAATTGGGGTTTATTTGCACTTCGTTATGTATTTGTTAAAAACAAGCTTTTATAGTTTATAATAAAATGTTTCCCTGGTAGACACAAAAATTTCCTGATAATGATTAAAAACAGCCACTCCCACCCACCCCACACACAAACTTGTGTCCACCCCAGTATCCAATCTACATTGGCTTAATCTTTTTTAAAAGTTTATTTATTTAAAGAGCGAGAGCAAGTATCAGTAGGGGAGGGGAAGAGAGAAAGGGAGAGAGAGAAGCCCAAGCAGGCTCCTTGCTGTTAGCACAGATCTCGACATCGGGCTCCATATCACAACCTTGACTGAAATCATGACCTGAGCCTAAATCAAGAGTCAGACGATTAACTGACTGAGCCACCCAGACACCCCTACACTGGCTTAATCTTGAAGTGTCATCCAGTAAGACTGAAGACAAAACACTTCAGGTCCTGGGCAAGACAGTAAAGCACCAGGACGCCTTCTGGATCCTTGGATTGAATGACATCAATGAGAGCCAATCTTTGATGTGGTCAAAGAAACGTGTTCATCTGCAATGACAATTTCAAGCTCCTGCCAGCGCACCCTGTCAGCAGGAGGCCACAAAGTGTCGTCCTCTCAGGCTTTTTCATTGTCATTAATTATTCTCCTCAGTTGCCGTATCACACATTTGTGTACGTAAGCCTCTTTTTCTGATCGTAACGTCATTTGTATAATTGCTGTTGTTGGCACACCTCAATTTCCTGTCAGGTAGGAACCACAACTGCAGGAACTCTTGGTCGAACTTGCCCTTGTGACCCACGTAATAACACAGATAAAGGTCACTCTCCATGACTCCATAGGACAAGGAAAGTGGGGGGGGGGGGGATCTGTAGTATGTGTTAGATACATTTATGCAAGAAAATAAAGAGATGAAAACTAAAAAAAAAAAAAAAAAAAGATGGGTTTAAGATCTGCTTCTCTAATATATTTGACTAGTATGCCTTATAAAAAATAAAAACAAGAATATCCATTTTACATGATTTTTTTTCTGTTGTATTGATATTATTACCACCTATGGAAGTTCCTTATTTGGAAAACGTTCAATAATAAAATGAACATATATGGGATGCCTGGGTGGCTCAGTCGGTTAAGTGTCCGATTTTAGCGCAGGTCATGATTTCACAGTTTGTGAGTTCCAGCCCCGTGTCAGGCTCTGTGCTGACAGCTCAGAGCCTGGAACCTGCCTTGGATTCTCCCTCTCTCCCTCTCTCTCTGCTCCTCTCCTGCTCATGCTCTCTCTCTCTCTCTCTCTCTCTCTCTCTCTCTCTCTGTCTCTCAAATAAACATTAAAAAAAATAATAATATGGATGGAACTGGAGTGTGTTATGCTAAGAGAAATTAGAGAAAGACAAATACAGAAATTAGAGAAAGACAAATATCATATGACTTCACTCATGTGGAATTTAAGATACGAAACAGATGAACATAAGGGAAGGGAAGCAAAACTAATATAAAAACAGGGAGGGGGACAAAACACCAGAGACTCTTAAATATAGAGAACAAACTGAGGGTTGCTGGTGGATGGAGGGATGGGCTAAATGGTCAAGGAGCATTAAGGAGGACACTTGTTGGGATGAGCATTGGGCGTTATATGTAGGGGACGAATCACTAGATTCTACCCTGAAATCACTATTGCGCTATATGCTACCTAACTTGGATGCAAATTTAAATTTTTTAAAAAATAATAATAAATAAAATGAAATACAAAAGTTCTCGTGCTAATTGGCCATCCGTGGGTCAACAAGAGGGCTCTGCTTGTGGTAATGACTGAGAGATTCAGGCTGACAGAGGCACAGCCATCTCTACCCCGGCTCTCACAACTATAGAGGCAGAGTAAAAAGATGCGAGGAGCCACATACGAGGTCTTAAGGTTTTTGTCCAGAAGAGATCCACATCACCTCTTGCCACATTTGCTTGGCCAAAGGATCACTCCGTTATGCTTGAGTTCAAGTGGGTGATGAGATACAAACCAATGTGTGTCCGGAAGAGATTCAAACATTAGGCGGCTCTAATGCCTCCCATGCCTGCCTTCTGCCCCCGAGTGGTCCCCATTCCGGCCCGGAGCAGGCATGCAGCGGATGCTGTTGGGAATGACGAATGGCTGAGTGAGTGCAGAAGTGGAGTCGGTGTCATCCACAAGCTCAGGCGTCATGGTCTCAGAGAGTGGCACCCCAACCTGCAGAAGCAGGAGGGCATGGGGCATGTGTTACACTGGGCGTGTCTGGTAAGGGACACTGAAGCGTTAGTTCCACGTTGGGGTCCAAACAGAAAATGACTCTTCGTACCAAATGGATTAAGCATCCCCACCCATCACCATAGCACACAAACCTCTGAAAATGACGGAAGGATCACCAGTACAGAGCACTACCCTTCAGTGGCGCTGTGAGAAGGGGGATAGTCCCATTGAATGGTTTGTATACTTCTGCATGGTTGAGGTTATCTAGAATAATTTCATAATTATTTTATAAAAGTTCACTGCTAGAAACTACCATGCCGCTGAGTTATATAGATTATATGGCTACAGAATTATAATAATATATAAGTAAATTATGTATTTATCATTGAGATAACTGCATGGGAAGAGGTAGTTACTTATTTTAGCATGTGGACTTGGCAATTTCACATGCTTTCCCATCCCCATAAGGAGTTGAATTACAGAACTCTTTAGGTATTGGGGTGTTCAAAGGGACCTGAACTTGTTGGACTCTACCTAACTTCTAGACTCTTTGCCAGAGGACCAAAACTAAGTAGCATGATTTGGTACTGGCCATAACAAAGCCTACTTCCACCTGGCTTTGGTAGTCTCGCCACTTGTAGCTAAGAGTAGGTACCTGAAAAACTGTGTAAAAATGTAGAAATATAATCTGTATTATCAAGGGAAAGATATGTAGGGATAAAGCAGGAAAGGGAATCCACTTACAAATGAAGAGAAGGAATATAGCAGACAACTTTTTTAAATTTTATTTTTAATTTTTTATTTATTTATTTTTTTAATGTTTATTCATTTTTGAGAGACAGAGAGAGACAGAGTATGAGCAGGGAAGGGGCCGAGAGAGAGGGAGACACAGAATCTGAAGCAGGCTCCAGGCTCTGAGCTGTCAGCACAGAACCCGACGCGGGGCTCGAACTCACGAACTGTGAGATCATGACCTGAGCTGAAGTTGGACGCTCAACCGACTGAGCCACCCAGGCACCCCTATTTTTTATTTTTTAAAATTTACATCCAAATTAGTTAGCATATAGTGAAACAATGATTTCAGGAGTAGATTCCTTAATGCCCCTTACCCATTTATCCCATCCCCCCTCCCACAACCCCTCCAGCAACCCTCAGTTTGTTCTCCATATTTATGAGTCTCTTCTGTTTTGCCCCCTCCCTGTTTTTATATTATTTTTGTTTCCCTTCCCTTATGTTCATCTGTTTGGTCTCTTAAAGTCCTCATAGGAGTGAAGTCATATGATTTTTGTCTTTCTCTAACTGACTAATTTCACTTAGCATAATACCCTCCAGTTCCATCCACATAGTTGCAAATGGCAAGATTTCATTCTTTTTGATTGCCAAGTAATACTCCATTGTATATATATACCACATCTTCTCTATCCATTCATCCATCGATGGACATTTGAGCTCTTTCCATACTTTGGCTGTTGTTGATAGTGCTGCTATAAACATGGGGGTGCATGTGTCCCTTCAAAACAGCACACCTGTATCCCTTGGATAAATGCCTAGTAGTGCAATTGCTGGGTTGTAGGGTAGATCTATTTTTAGTTTTTTGAGGAACCTCCATACTGTTTTCCAGAGTGGCTGCACCAGCTTGCATTGCCACCAACAATGCAAAAGAGATCCTCTTTCTCCGCATCATCGCCAACATCTGTTGTTGCCTGAGTTGTTAATGTTAGCCATTCTGACAGGTGTAAGGTGGTATCTCATCGTGGTTTTGATTTGTATTTCCTTGATGATGAGTGATGTTGAGCAATTGTTCATGTGTTGGTTGGCCATCTGGGTGTCTTCCTTGGAGAAGTGTCTATTCATGTCTTTTGCCCATTTCTTCACTGGATTATTTGTTCTTTTGGGGTGGTGAGTTTGATAAGTTCTTTATAGATTTTGGATACTAACCCTTTATCTAATATGTCATTTGCAAATATCTTCTCCCATTCCTTTGGTTGCCTTTTAGTTTTGCTGATGTTTTCTTCACTGTGCAGAAGCTTTTTATTTTGATGAGGTCCCAGTAGCTCATTTTTGCTTTTGTTTCCCTTGCCTCTGGAGACGTGTTGAGTAAGAAGTTGCTGTGGCCAAGATCAAAGAGGTTTTTGCCTGCTTTCTCCTTAAGGATTTTGATGGCTTCGTGTCTTACGTTGAGGTCTTTCATCCATGTTGAGTTTATTTTTGTGTATGGTGTAAGAAAGTGGTCCAGGTTCATTCTTCTGCATGTCGTTGTCCAGTTTTCCCAGCACCACTTGCCGAAGAGACTGTCTTTATTCCATTGGATATTCTTTCCTGATTTGTCAAAGATTAGTTGGCCATACGTTTGTGGGTCCATTTCTGGGTTCTCTATTCTGTTCCATTGATCTGAGTGTCTCTTCTTGTGCCAGTACCATACCGTCTTGATGATTACAGCTTTGTAGTATAGCTTAAAGTCTGGGATTGTGATGCCTCCTGCTTTGGTTTTCTTTTTCAAGATTGCTTTGGCTATTCAGGGTCTTCTCTGGTTCCGTACAAATGTTAGGATTATTTGTTCTAGCTCTGTGGAGAATGCTGGCGTTATTTTGATAGGCATTGCATTGGATATGTAGATTGCTTTGGGTAGTATCGACGTTTTAGCAATATTTGTTCTTCCTATCCAGGAGCATGGAATCTTTTTCCATTTTTTTGTGTCTTCTTCAATTTCTTTCATAGGCTTTCTATAGTTTTCAGTGTGTAGATTTTTTATCTCTTTGGTTAGATTTATTCCTAGGTATTTTATGGTTTTTGGTGCAACTGTAAATGGGATCAATTCCTTGATTTCTATTTTTGTCACTTCATTGTTGGTGTATAGGAATACAACCTATTTCTGTGCGTTGATTTTATATCCTGCAACTTTGCTGAATTCATGAATCAATTCTAGCAGTTTTTTGGTGGAATCTTTTGGGTTTTCCATATAGAGTATCATGTCATCTGCAAAGAGTGAAAGTTTGACCTTCTTCTGGCCGATTTGGATGCCTTTTACTTCTTTGTGTTGTCT